TTGTTTATTTTTTCAAAGAACCAACTTTTAGTTTTGTCAATTTTTTCAATTGTTTCTTTTGTTTCGATTTCATTAATTTCAGCTCTGATTTTAATTATTTCTTGCCTTCTACTTCTTTTGCTGTTGTTTTGCTCTTCTTTTTCAAGGATTTTGAGATGAAGTATGAGATCATTTATTTGTTGGTTTTTTCTTTTTTTAAGGAATGAACTCCAAGCAATGAATTTTCCTCTTAGAACTGCTTTCAATGTGTCCCATAGATTCCGATATGTTGTGTCTGTGTTTTCATTTATCTCTAAGAATTTTTTAATTTCCTCCTTGATGTCTTCTATAACCCATTGATCATTCAGTAACCTATTGTTCATTCTCCAAGTGATGTATTCTTTTCCCTTCCTTCTTTTATCGTTGATTTTCAGTTTCATTCCATTACAATCAGATAAGATGCATGGTATTATCTCTACTCCTTTATATTGTCTAAGAGTTGCCCTGTGACATAATATATGATCTATTTTTGAGAAGGATCCATGTGCTGCTGAGAAAAAAGTGTAACTGCTTGATGTTGGGTGGTATACTCTATATATGTCAATTAGGTCTAGGTTATTAATAGTGTTATTGAATTCTATAGTTTCCTTGTTCAACTTTTGTTTGGAAGATCTGTCCAGTGGCGACAGAGGTGTGTTGAAGTCTCCCATGATAATGGTATGGTGGTCTATTAGACTCTTGAACTTGAGAAGAGTTTGTTTGACGAACATAGCTGCACCATTGTTTGGGGCATAAATATTTATGATTGTTATGTCTTGTTGGTGTATCATTCCCTTAAGCAGTATGTAGTGTCCCTCTTTATCCCTTTTGATTAACTTTGGCTTGAAATCTATTTTATTTGATATGAGTATGGACACTCCTGCTTGTTTCCGAAGTCCATATGAGTGATATGATTTTTCCCAACCTTTCACCTTCAACCTATGTATATCTTTTCCTATCAAATGCGTCTCCTGTAGGCAGCATATTGTTGGGTCTTGTTTTGTGATCCATTCTACTAGCCTGTGTCTCTTAATTGGTGAGTTTAAGCCATTAACATTTAAGGTTATTATTGAGATATGGGTTGTTCTTCCAGCCATATTTGTTTATTTATGTTACTAAACATGGTTTGTTTTCCTCTTTGATTATTTCCCCCCCCTTTACTGTCCTACCTCCCACTGTTGGTTTTCATTGTTATTTTCCATTTCCTCTTCCTGTAATGCTTTGGCGAGGATGTTTTGAAGAGATGGTTTTCTAGCTGCAAATTCTTTAAACTTTTGTTTATCGTGGAAGGTTTTAATTTCATCTTCCATCCTGAAGCTTAATTTCGCTGGATACACAATTCTTGGTTGGAACCCATTTTCTTTCAGTGTTTGAAATATGTTATTCCAGGATCTTCTAGCTTTCAGAGTCTGTGTTGAAAGATCAGCTGTTATCCTGATTGGCTTACCCCTAAATGTAATCTGCTTCCTTTCTCTTGTAGCTTTTAAAATTCTCTCCTTATTCTGTATGTTGGGCATCTTCATTATAATGTGTCTAGGTGTGGATCTCTTATGATTTTGCACATTCGGCGTCCTGTAGGCTTCTAGGATTTGGGATTCTGTCTCATTCTTCAAGTCTGGGAAGTTTTCTCATATTATTTCATTGAATAGACTGCTCATTCCTTTGATTTGGAGCTCTGTACCTTCCTGTATCCCAATGACTCTTAAGTTTGGTCTCTTAATGTTATCCCATATTTCTTGGATGTTCTGCTCATGGTTTCTTAACAGTCTTGCTGAGCTGTCTATGTTCTTTTCCAGTTGAAATACTTTGTCTTCATTGTCTGATGTTCTATCTTCTAAGTGTTCTACTCTGCTGGTAGTATTCTCCATTGAGTTTTTAAGTTGGTTTATTGCTTCCTGCATTTCTAGGATTTCTGTTTGTTTGTTTTTTATAACCTCTATCTCCCTGTATAGTTGATCCTTTGCTTCCTGGATTTGTTTGCGTAATTCATTGTCGACGTGATCTTTCATTGTCTGATTTTGCTGTTTAATGTCTTCCTTGATACTCCAGATCATCTGAAGCATGTATATCCTGAATTCTTTATCTGACATTCCATCTGCTGCAGCTGTTACCTCTTCTAAAGTTGTGTTGACCTGCATTGCTTGTGGTCCTTTCTTTCCTTGTCTTTTCATACTGCTTGCGTATCTTTCCTGCAGGTGCGGGCGGCGGCTCTGCTCTCTCCTTATTCCAATTGGGGTGTCATGTCTACCTCGCCGGCAGGTCACTGGGCCTGTTCTGGGCGCTGGCGGCGGCTCTGTTCTGCCGCTACTCCAATTGGGGTGACAAGTGTACCACGCCAGCAGGCCACCGGGCCTGATCCGCCAGTTGGTTGCAGGTTTGCCTACCCTGCAGGCGCGGGCAGCGGCTCTACTCTGCCCCTACTCCAAATGGGGTGACGTGTCTGTCGTACCGGCAGGCCACTGGGCCTGTCCCGCTGGTTGGTCGCAGATCTGCCCACCTTTCGGGCACAGGTGGAGGCTCTGCTCTGCCCCTACTCCAATTGGGGTGTCGTGACTACCCCGCCTGCAGGACGCTGGGCCTGTTCCTGGCACGGGCGGCGACTCTGCTCTGCCCCTACTCCAATTAGGGTGGTGTGTGTACCACGCCGGCAGTCTCCTGGGCCTGATCCACCGGTCTGTTGCAGGTCTGCCTACCTTGGAGGCGCGGGCGGCGGATCTGCCCTGCCCCTCCTACCACACCTGCGGACCCCTGGGCCTGATCTGCAGGTTGGTCACAGGTCTGCTCACCCTGCAGGCACAGGTGGCGATTCCACTCCGCCCCCACTCCAATTGGGGTCACGTGACCACCACACCGGCAGGGCCTGATCCGGGCATGGGAGAAGGATCTGCTCTGCCCCTACTCAAGTTGGGGTGACGTGTGTACCACACTGGCAGGCCACTGGGCCTGACCCGCCAGGCTGTCACAGGTCTGTTTACCTTGCAAGCACGAACAGCGGCTCTGCCCTGCCCCTCCTACCACGCCCATGTACCACTGGGTCGCGGGTATGCCCACCTTGCGGGTGCGGGTGGCGGCTCCGCTCCGCCCCCTCTCCAATTGGGGTCACGCGGTCACTACGCTGGAGAGCCGCTGGGCCTGCTCCGGGGGCTGGCGGCGGCCCGTCTCCTCCCCTCTGGCTCGACGACAAAGTGATGAGACTCGGGTGTCTGTGCCTCACCCCCCCTACCAGGAGACCAACTGTTTATGTTGCCGCTGGTATTGATGAAGTTCTCTCCTCCGCCGCTTTCTGATGACATCAGATCTCTGCCATGTTGGTATCCTATGCGAATGGCAGCATTTCTTTCCCCTTGCCGGGCAACCAAAGCAACGGGTGAGTCCTGGCCGGCCCTCAGCAGGACCCGGACCGAGAAGCAGTTTCCGCGGGCTCCTAGCCCCGGGCCAGGGAAGTTCCGGGAGCCGGAACTCGGCCGCTCCGTGCTCGGTGTAAGCTCCTATAAGTGTAGGCTCCAAGAAGCAGTCCCCGCGGGCTCAGTTCCGGGAGCCGGAATTCGGCCGCTTAGTGCTTGGTGTATGCTCTGATAGGAGCAGGGTCCAAGAAGCAGCCTCCGCAGGCTCCGCAGCCCTGGGCCAGGGCGGTTCCGGGACGGTTCCGGAAGCCGGAACTCGGCCGCCCCGTGCTCGGTGTTCGCTCCAATAAGATCAGGTTCTAAGAAGCACCCAGGCACTGAACCCTAGCAATCTGTCTGCAAGCCGCAGGCGAATTGCAGCCTGAAATTACCTGTTCTATGGCTGAATGAGCTGCGGTCAGTCGAAAACAGGTATGGTGACGTCAGCTTTCCAACATGGGGGCTGCTGGCCTCCTCTGTGGTCTGACCGGTGTGGAGAACCGAGATGGACCGCTTCCTTCCCCCGTCTCGAACCCAGAATTCAGCCCTGAGTACGGTGCTTGCACGGCTGGCAGAAACTGCAGCGCTGTACCCCTGCGTCGCTATCTCCTTGTTTCCCAGCGCGCGCTGCAGACTCTAGCCGCGGGGCGATTTGCTGAATAAGCAGTGTTACCCTCCGTGCGACAAACCTCTCGCGTCTGAGTCCCCGTAGCCTATCCTCGTGCGATGGAAATCCTTCCTCCAGGTTCCGGAGCACCCCACTATTGCTGGAAATTCCTAACAAGATATCCTTTAGCCGTCCTGACTTGTCATACTCCCACACAGTGAAGCAGCACACGGGGGCAATGCACTCCCCTCGCCGCCATCTTCCTTCTAGGGATAAGTTCCTTTTAAAACTTTATGTAACTTTCTTTTTAGTCTGTTATAGATAGTAATAGACCTATTTAAAACAGGAAGTTCAAGGCGATGACAGAGCTTTACCAGGAATCGTACATGGGGAAATATAAAGAACTTAAACAGCTGAATCCACCTTAAATGTCACTTGTGATATAGAGGGAAGGGACACTTTGCTGGGAGGAAGTTGAGAAAGTTTCTTCTTATTCCAAAAGGCTTTCCCAGGTACTAGAGGATGAAAAAAAAAAGTGATGTGATGTCTATCTAGTTTGCCATTCTTTTTATAGAAAGCACTTAAATCCAGATAGTTCAATAAATATTTTGCAGAAAACTCTTTTCCTATAAATGACTCCCCAATGTCTACTCATCAGTAAGTTAATTATAATGTTGGACTTAAGAATTTGATTTCTAAAATCAATCAAAAAATGACACATTGAAAAATAGAATTTTTATTTCCATCTTAAACTCAGTGTAGAAGAACCTGTTTACAAACTTCCTTCATTTAATTGGATTTCTTAGTATGAAATAGTATTTCCAGAACTAATTACAATTTTGTTCTAACGAATATTTAGCACCAAAATATGTTATCTTTGCAGTACAGTATATAGATTTCTAAATCATCCATAAAGGTAATTATATTTTTTACTTTCTCAAAAAGTCATATATTGTTATTGATGCCAAAATGGGTCGTTTACTTCTTCTCAGGCCATGATTGAAGAAGCCATCACCAGAGCTGAATCTTTCTCAGTTATGTACACACCATTTGCAACAAAAATAAGAGCTGATAAAATAGAAAAAGTAAAAGAGGTTTTCACAAAAACTCATCCTGCGTATGTAGAGTACATCTACACAGGTAAGACTCAACATCTTCAGTTATCAGCTGATCCTTTATTTCTGTTGAAATAAATGCAGAACCCTTTCTGGTTCGTTTACTGTTTGTGTCAGGGTATGTCTATTTAAATCTAAGGAATTGAAATGGGAAATTGTTTTTAAGGTTTTAAGTAGGACTGGCCTTTACAGGTCTAGCACAAAATCCCTTGAGCCTTCCTGTTTCTGTTTTTAAAGGAAGGGGTAAAACCTAGAAACTTCAAGGTTTTTTTTAAAAACAAAAGCAATACCTTTGGTAAAATTTCACCTTTCTATATATCCTTCATCAGTACACTAGGTGATTATAGTATTTTCCTGAAGATTGACTTTTTTCCAAAGCCTGCTCTTTCTGCTTTCCTTTCCCCATCTTCTTCACCCCTCAAGCCTCTCTCTTCTTGAAAAATACTGGTTTCCAAATGAGCTCTGGATAGCCAAGGGTACCTGAGAGGACACACATTGGTATTGTCCTTTTTCCTGTCTTTTTCTGGGAATTGTCCTTTTCCTTGTCTTTTTCTTTAAAAGACACTTACTTTTATTCATTCATTCAAAATATTTCTTCCTACCTACTGTGTGTCAAGTGTCAAGGAGTTTTGTTTTGTTTTATATTAAATGAAGGGCCATTCATCGATGACTAGTGTTAAGCAAAATCCCTAAATGTACACACCTAATATCACAATCTTCTATTAAGACCAGTTCAACTCCTTTAGGTTTTAGGGGCTGAGTTGTTGATGCATAAGATTAAAAACATACTCTGTCCTTGGTCATTTTTAAAGCACCATGTGCTCTGCATTTATTGTCCCTTGTTGTTCCCATAATCTATGAGGTTAGGTGATTTGCTTTAGAAACAAGAAAAGATAATTGAGAAAAGACAAATAGCTTTCTCAAAGATGCCCACCCAATTGTTTATGGCAGGCTTTAAATTGAACCCATATCTTTGCCATTGAGCTATACTGTCTCCCTGTGACAGAAGCATTAAGTTAGGTCCTGTGGATTCCTTTTTTTTCTCCACAGTGCCTCAACTTCAATTAAATAAATCCAACCAATAATGGTTGAATACTAATCTCTGAGGAACAATGGGAATTGAGGGCAGAGAAAGGGAGAAGAGCATACAAACTTTGCCATAATGACCACTGATGCTGATTATACTCAGGTTGAGCATTTTGTAAGAAGAGAGGTAAAAAATTTCCAGAACTTTGCTAATTGCTACAAACTTTTCATAATTTTGCTATGAACATTTAAAGATGGGTTGTTTTGTTTTGTTTTGTTTTGTTGGTGGTGGTGGGGAGGGGCACAAGTCATGCCCATTTAGCCTCATGGGAAAATGAGTCTGATGCAGTCATTTTCACAGCTGCTCTCAGATCCATTGGTAAGGAAAAGGGATTCACTAAGGAGATCATCAGTTTGCCAATTTCTCTTCTGGTAGAAGGAGTTTAGTTATATTTAACCTACTTCACAGAGAAGTCATGACGATTAATTAATAGTTAGGAAGCACTATCGCCACTGAGAGTTTAAAAACAATAATAACATTAATGAGCCAGACTCATGTCTCATGTAACTCCATCAAACCTGTTATCAAGATGAATTATGATCTGCTGGCAAGATGATTCCAGCTAAAGGATCTTATACTGTAGAAGAGAAGATAATTATAAGTTACTAATGATTGTTTCTATTATTTTATAATTGCTAATTGTGAGAGTATGACAGTGCAATGTGAGACCCTGAGAGGAAAGATACTACTCCTGGCAGAGGATCATGAGGTAGAAAAAAATCAGCCTAGAGTTTAAATCTCAATGGGCCTAGTCAGGTTCTTTTCTCTGTGGAAATCATGATTTTGGTTAAGATTATTGACTTGGTGACACGATTTGCCTCTGTATGAAGAAATAAGGGGTTGTCTAGCTATGTGTGCACAGTGGGGAAGGGGACTTCTTTTCCCCCAGGCACTTCCAAGGTGAGTGAGAAGACAAAGCATGGGTGGGAATGGGGAAGGAAGGTCAGGTGTTTTCTTTAGCAGCTGAACCTCTCTCCCAAGAGGTGCAGAGAGCTGTCTAGAAGAGGCATCAGGAGCCACCGATAATAACTAGGAAGTGAGACACACAAAGAGAGATTGGGTGTAGGAGAAATAGTTACTCTTTGTTTGTTTTTGTTTTTGACACATTCCCAAAACCAGAATTCTTTTATGAACTTTGTAGATGGAATTCAAGAAGCTTCTGTCCTGATAAAAATTTATTCACTTACCCATTTCAACAAATATTCGTATAGCAGGAGAGACTGCACAATCACACAGCAGATGTGTGCAGACATAAGACTGTTTCCGCATGATACTCCGGCTAAACAAGTGCACAAGTTTCTGCTCAGTGCTGACTGTTTCATAAACACTCCTCCATGTGCAATCAACTCCATCCTCAAAGACACTGAGTTTGTACACTCACCCTTCCACAGAAAGCTACAGGTGAGGCTGTCAAGTGTGTTTGTATCCACCCATAGAAATATATAGTTGCAGGAGAGAAACTGATGCCCCGTGGAAGATGAAAGCCAGTCTTAGCAGCAGCAAGACACTGAGCAATTCAATGAGACCCTGTCTTTAATAAAATACAAAATAGGGCTGGGGATGTGGTTCCGTGGTTGAGTGACCCTGAGTTCAATTCCCTGGTACCCCCTCCAATATATATATATATATATATATATATATATATTGCTCATTGAAGCAAAAGAAGGAGGCCATACGTAAAAATTTCTAAATTACAGAAATCATCTAAACCAACCATCAGAAGATGAAGTTTGTCATATAATCTGTACCTCGAAAATCTTGGATGAGGAGACTACCTACCAAAGTTTTGCTGGAGAAGTAGTTATGATCATTAAAACTTGGAGATAAGCACCTTTTATTCTGCCAGTGGAGACTGGCAAACAAATTTCCAACTCAGAAACCCTGCCCAACTCCAGGTCACCTTCATCAAGCCCAGCTTGGCCTGAGAACAGTACTCCCTGGTCACATGATGAGCTCTGGCTTGTGGTGGTGAGGAGCAGGGAGAGACTCCTCCAGTGGTGCTTTCTCTCTAGCCAGCCCACAGTTCACAGTCACCTCTGTCAGAGATTTCCACAGGAAAAACAGATGCAGGATGGAGGAGGTGAATGATAATTAATTTTGAAATAATGCTTAAATATAGATCTGATGTTTAAATATTCTTTAACTGAATAAGCCAACTAAGTGAGAAATTGGTTTTATAGTGATTTTTCATGTGAAAGCCTACTCATCACTAGTGGTAGGTACTAGGACTGCCTTTTATAATTTCTATAGGGCTGATGAGGGCTGATGCTTTATAGGACACCCACATTTACACATGCTCAGAAACTTACTCCTCATCCTTTTCTATTTCAGAAACATGCTAAGACCCGCCCAATCTTAAAGTCATATTATAATAGAGCTGTATTGTATTCTGTTTCATGGAGAAGAAATTACTTATTTTTTATAGTATAGCTCTCCATTTTTCTTATTTAAGGAAAAATCCAGCTTGATTCATGCAGAGTAGTCAGGGTATATAAAACAAATAATAATTCACCAGCCCCAGAATTATTATGTTTTCATTTATAAAGATTTTGCTTGTGATTTTTATTCATATATTCCAATGAAATAATGCAATTCTGCATAGTTCCTATTCTTGCATGGTTGTATTTTAATAATAATAAAGTAATACAATAAGCATATCCTGTCTCCTCTTGATGAAAATATCAAGATTTATTTTCTAAATAAATAAATATTCAGTAATGGATCTATGCTTAGTAATGTTTAATAGAAAAGTTTTTTGGATCAGATATCAATTACTTTAACACTTAGGTGGATAGAGTCATATTTTGTCTTTCCAATGCAATTTAACTCCCAAGAGTAAATATGTATGTTCAGAGGAATAATATATTGTTTTAAAATAGACCTTTAAAAATTGCTTTTCACTGAAATTTATAACCTCATTCTTGTTCAGTCATCATTTACAAGCAAGGATAATACATTCTTATGTTCTCTAAAACACGAAGTTAAAATTTCTCATTTTATTCTTTCTTCTTTAAATTATGTAATTTTACCATGATCAAGAGTTTTCAAGATCAGACTATTTTCCTCTTTATAACTAGCTTTCTCAAATGGAAAACTTGAGAATTAAAGAGTCTGTATTCCCAATATCATTAGGAAAGTGTTACAGTTGGATTAATTATAAAGATAAGTCATCTCATATTTGTAGAATCAAAGAATCATTCCCAAAGAAGGTCCTCACATATGGGTCTGAAATCTCTGTTCTTAAAAATAATAAAATGCTGGTCCTCCCAGTGTGCAATTCGAGACTCTGGCATTGTTCTATCTGATGGAAGTAAACATTCCTCAACCAGCAGTTCACATGTCCCTTGAAGTAGCAGATTATAGCACAGCTTGTCTTTGATCTCCACTTCTACCTCACCTGAACCTCCCTAAAACTAATGCCTCCTGCTTAGGACCTTTTCTTATGGGACCTGACCAAAGACAGACAGAGTTGCCCTTAAGGAAGTAATCCCAAAATAAAAGGAAGTAATAGAAATATTTACTTCAGCCTCTCGAGACTGTTTAGTGGGTTGGAGCAGGGTGGAGTAGATGGAATGGGATGGATGGCTAGAAGCAGGGAGGTATTATAGGTATGGTATCCATAATGCTCAGCAACACCTTGTAAAATGCATACACACAATAAACGCAAACACATGGAAGCTTCACTCAAAGATGCCTTTCCCATTCTGAGTCCTCCAGATATATTCCTTTGTGAATATAAAGGTGAGTCCCTTTCTATTGTTAGAATTGGTAGTCTTACCTGTTTGGGGTATTATTACCTATCACCACTTTACCCATGTGTATAACCAAGTCCCAAGATTATTTTTAAGGAGCAAAGCTCATCTTATCAAGCATGGGAATAGTGAGATAAAGACTCAAATGTTAGGCGGAATCTCTTTCTTATGCTGTCTGATCTAGCT